AATAATTATCAAAACCATCACATAAATTGGACTCATCACCTGGCCGCAACCTGACTAATATGGCCCACCTATTTGGCACGATCGAGGATGGCTGCCAGCGCATCCGCTACAACGTTAAATAACAAGTCGGATAATGGATCCCCTTCCCTCTCATTTCTAAAGAAGGATCCAACTTCTCTATTGATTTCACCATCATTTGTCCACCTCGGACTAACAATATCATCCAACTGGTTCACATGGGATCAAACCCTTTCTTATAAAGAACCTATCTAAGCTGGTGGTATGCTTTGTCAAAATCTAAGTCTAAGATAAACACCTCCGCTCTGGAGCATCTAATCTCATGCAACACGACCACACCGTCCAGGATACATGCACCCCGGTCCCCGGATGAAGGCCGTTTGGTTATGATGAATTACTTTATGTGCCACCGGGTTTAGTCTAGTAGCGAACCCTTTTGCCAATAGACAGAAACTCACATTTATCAAGGTTCTTGGCCCATATTGATGAATACTATCGCCAAACTCACCTTTGATAGTAAAGCCAACACCCCACAGTTTAGACGCTTACTGTCAATTAAACCACCAGTGAAATCGTCAACTAAATCGAAAACATTACTCCCCCACAACTCCTCAAATTTTCTCATAGAAAGTCACGGGAAACCCATCTAGACAAGGAACCATACCTGTTTGCATTTCCTTAAGGTTATTCGTGATCTCGCAAAGAGAAAACATCTACTTCGGAAACAGAAATATCCACATTAATAGCGGGGACAAACCTCCTAAATAGAACATCGCGTCTTCCATAACTTCCTGTAATGATCATTAACGTGTTTTCTAACAAGCTTAAAAAGATACCCAAAGAGAAAAAATGAGAGTGATTGTTCATGAATTAACTCTTGTATCAAACTCATGACATATGCCTATTTGGCATCTCCGATGCGAACTCAAAGCCTCTGTTTTTCTTTCTTAAATGATTAAAACCCAAAGTCTATGTTGTTGAGATATGCTTCCGCAAAATCTCAATATGGGTGCCAGAGTCGATATGAGCAACCAATATCTTGTTTGATTGCAGATCCTTAGAAGCTTCGACATCATTATAATCAGCGTCCATTCCTGCCTGTTGTCCCTTGAAGAAAATTCCCGTTGATGTGCCCTTGTGCACACATCAGCCCCTAATAAGAGAGAATTCCTTATTTGGCCCTTTCTTAAAATTTGTTTCCCTTTTTGGCCCAAAATAAAATATTTTTCCCTTTTTGACACTTAAAGTTAATTTTGTCCCTCAATGACATTTCTGTCTCCTTTAGTCACTAATAATGTTAAGTATGAGGTGAAAAGACCATTTTACCCCTAGTGCACTATGTGACTGTCCACGATATTTAAGTAAAAGAGTAACCACTGATTTTATGAAATATGTTCATTGATGTTTTGCATATATATGCACTTCAATATTTTTTTCCTTAGCTAAACTGATCCGTGCATACAAAAGACGGAAAACATCTGCTCAACTTCCTCGTAAAAAAAACATCTGCTCAACTCGCATAATCATATCTATGATAAGTACAATTTATCACGTTCAAAGTACCCCGACACATACTCATAAATCTTCTAACTAACACACGTTTAAAACTACAGTACACATAATAAATCCTGCGAACAAGTGGACCGCGCGAGCCGGCTGCTATACACCACGCGGACGGCACACAAACGAGGACGACGAGAGCGTATGCTGCTGGCCACGAGCAACCGGACACCACTCGCCCGGAATGAGAGGTAGTCGCTGTTGTTCGTCGTCCCGTCCGGGCAACTACCTCTGCCTCCCCTTTCGCATGGCGCACGGCTGCTGCAACGTGCAGTTCCGGTATCAACTCCCTGCCACAGATGCCAACGCCATGGCCGCCAACCACCGGCGTCGCAGCAGTCGGATTTGTTGGTGGCCGAGATGCACCAACGCCTTCGCCAGCTAGAACAGCTAGCTACCTAGCCCGGCTGGCTCGATCCGTCTTGATCGATCAAAGCTAGCACAACTAGGTACGTAGCCCGGCGTTGCACACGTACACAACTCCTATGTTTTTTATAACAACTCCTATGCCTTCTTTTAGCTACCGCGATGTAGTGACACCAGTCCTACAGTACATGGACACGTTCACGCACAAGTAATCAAGCATACATGCATGGGATGCTATTGTCGTATTTAACACCAACAAAGAAGACCACGACCGGCCAGGAGTGCTGGAACACGCGCATGGGCACACGCCGTTCCATGCATGCCGAGGTCGACGATCCGTCACCCTCCGCCTTGCCATGAGCAGCAGCAGCATCAAATCGGGGTGGGAAATAGAGAGAGAAGTTCGGTCATGGGGTTTCTTCTTCATTTTACCTATGAACTAAAGCAGGGGTAAAAAAAGACTTTTTGGATTGCACCTGATTGTGTTAGTGGCCAAAAGTGATGAAAATGTCATTAAGGGAACAAAATGAAATTTAGGTGTCAAAAAGGAAAAAAATGATTTTGCAAGGCCAAAAAGAAAAAACATATTTAAAAAAAGGCCAAATAAAAAATTCTCTCCCTTAATAATGCTAAAAATCATCATTCATTGGTTTGCATACGCCCGCCACACAAGAGCGTCATCGTCGTATTCATATTGGCTGGTGAATGGCAATCATAAGTCCAATAATGGCGAACCAATAATTTAGTCCACGTACGAGGTAAAAGTGGCCTCGTCACGTACAAATTACGAGCACCCTGCAAAACTCGAAACTGTACAGCCGTTATGCGTTGGCAAGCTAGCGTTGGCTTGAAAAGAGCTCGTCTAGCTAGACACGAAAAGAGGATCCACGATAGTTATCCACGTGATGCAAACTCACGGTTGCGTTGCGTGGCGTGACTCAACTGATCTGGCCAAAACTGGAGGTGGCCAGCTCGGCCAGCTTAGTACGATGTCGATGCCTCCCCAAATTGGAAATTGGAAATGGGACAGGGATGAGCACGCTGTGCCACTCGATGACTCGATCGTAGTACTACGTGACAGGGCATAATTCCACGTACCCATTTTATTTCCTTGATTGAAACGATACCGAATCCAGTCCACGCCGGGCTGCTCCTCCCATCCACTTGCGTCCTCGTGGGCGGGCTGGTGGGCCTGTGGGCGGTGGATAGTGCAACTTTGATATTTTTCGTCGGCCTAAAACGTACTCCGTACGCAGCAGGGTAAGGCCGAAACCTCCCCTCCCCAAGGCCAGCCAGGTCCGCGTCACCTCACCCGAATCCTCTGGAAACCGTGTGCCCTCAGCCTCCGTTTAAATACCTCCCCCATAAGCTTCCAGTCTGACAAATCTCTCTCGCTCAGCTTACGCCACTCCTATACTAATCCCCAAAAAAAAACTCTCACAGCTTTCGTCCCGACCCACTCTCGATTCCCCTCCCCGAAACGCCGCTCCAGGATTCAGCCGCAATCCGATCGCCGAGGCGACCGCGCCGTCCCGCCCACTCGATTCGGTCGTGTGCGCGCTAGGAAGTTCGTCCGTCACGCGCCTCGCGGTTTTGTGTTCGTTTTCCCGTTCTGGTTTCCTGTGGCTCGCTCGGTTACCGCTTTTAATCTTATAGCTAGCTCGATCCATCTGTGTTACTGTGTAGGTATGTGTGTTCTTCTGATTGCCTGCGCCTGCAGTAGATGCTGGTCATGACTAACTGCTTGATTGATGGATTGCTTGATTTTGGTTGTGGTGACTAATTTCCTAATTGGATTTAATCCTGCTCCTCAATTGGTTCGTTGACTGCTGCTTGATGTTATTGATGTGCATCCCGAAAATTCGATCCAGTTCACTTTAAACCAGTGGCGTGGGTTCCATCTATTTACTGGCCACGACTATTTCTATTTGGGCGTGTGGGATCATGGCTGCACAGAGCATTATCAGTAATTCACACTAGTACCATGTATTTATACATACGGCCGATGAAGCGGCATGAGCTGTGCAAATGGACTCCTGTTATTTCAGAAATTTTGAACTTCGTAGATCCTATCATACGTCCTATATTTTTGGATTGAACTGGCAACTTATATCCTTCTTGATCACACTCGTGCTGTTCTGGCTAATCCAAAAGTACCATGGACACTGGGCCACTGCATTTTGCTTCCTCTCCATGTGCCTGAAACGGTGCCCCTGTTTTGGTTCCTCATTCAACTCTCATTTGTGCTTTTGTTTTCGTTCACCAATTAAAAAAAAACAGTGGATATGCTTGTAAAAACGTGTTGAGGGCTCATTCTCGAAAAGAAAAAGAAAAACAAGGTTGAGGGGAAACTATCACTCTTCTAGACAAGTTACCTTCAGGCATCCTAGTTAAAGAGAGCATGTCCAGAAGGCAGCAACTTGCCGACTACTTACTTGCTGCGTGCAGCATTGGTTACTAATTTTTTTTTACTGCTTTGGCACAGAGTTGGGGGAATTCACTTATGCAGGTTCTTTCAATGATGCTGCTTCACTAGTTACTGAGACGATCCCTATTCAGTAGGAAATTGTAGATAGGTTACATTTCAGGTACAAACCACTGAAGTCTTAATTAGGACGCTGGCTTTCTCAAGATGTTCTTAATGGGAGAATTAGAGGAAGTTTAGTTTATTTGCGGATATTGCACGACTTTAAACCAATGTTTGGACAAGTTTCTTCCGTTCAAGATGAAGCCGGTGGCTGCTGGAGGTAGGCTTCCTTGTAATCTGACTTCTTAAGGGACCTTTCTGTTCGATAAAAAACATTCAACGACGGTACTAGCTAACACGTCAAAACCTTATCATGAAACCATCCCATCGCCTTCACTTTTTTTTTCCTGGCATTTGATGCTCTTGCCTGTTCCTCTTGCCAGAGAACGGGGGGCCAGCACCACGGTAAAACAGATGCAGATGGATCACTGTGTACGAATTGCTTGGAAATTCTTCTCTGGATGGATATCAGTTGTGTAATTTGTTTTCTCACAGCTCACAATCCAGCTAGTTTCTTCTAGCTGTGACTATGAGGTTTTTGCTGATTGGAGCAGTCCGGCGTTGCTTTGGTCTTGTGTCAATATGCCTGGTCTTCAGCAGTATTCAGCAACCAGAACTACATGCAGTGGTTTCCTCTGTGACTGCATTCTCTATTGAGAGTCATCCTGCTAAATGCATAATACTTGCAGGTATTTGTGTTGCATTTGCAACGCGATAGCTTTTGTGCTACCAAACAGCCGACATGGGTGCCGTGCAACTCGAGTCTGTTGCTGCTCAACATGCACATGCTAAGCTAAATGTGGATTCACTTCCTCAAGGCCCTTCGTTGTTTGATGGAAATGACACAGCCAGGATTGATGGTTCTAAGTCTGATGAGTACGAAAGATTTGAGAAGGGATTAATGCAGTATGGGTATGTCCTATTATCTCATGAGTCAATCTGCTCACAGTAATGAGTTCCTTGATAAATTATTGTCGTGAGAACTTTACAAGCATGTGCTGTTGCAGATGTGCGCATTACCGAAGGAGATGCCGCATACGAGCTCCATGCTGCAATGAGATTTTTGATTGCCGGCACTGCCACAATGAATCAAAGGTACAATTTCAAGAACAATGTCTTGAGTTTTTAATTTTGCATTCATATTCTCAGTGGTTGTAAGGCCGGAAACTAGAATTGATGATAAGTTTGTACATGGGGTTTGATTAGAGCTTTGACTGTTGTTTATGCTGCTATTTGAATCTCACGGTGGAAAAATAATCTGATTTAGTACATGTTATGTGCTGATTCAAGGACACTATTAACATTAACGGTATGTTGGGAGCTATAATATCGTGTGATATGTCGAAACATCATTAACATTTAACCTTGACAATTAATATGATCAAGTCTTGTTCTATCTCTTGATTTTTTTTCTGGATGCATGTAAGGTTTTCCACAAATGATCTATACTTTCTATTATGGTTTAAGTGTTCATATTTTTGTTCTGGAATGATTTTTAAAAATATAGAGAGTCATATTAACAGCATGTTGGGAGCTGTAATATCATGAGATAGAACACCATCCACATATTGTGAACCATTGTTCTATTTCTTGGTACATCTCTTATACTTTGCTTATATTGTGTATAAGTTTTTTCGTAAAAGATTATGCGTTCTGTTACGGTTTAAGTGCTCATTATTTGTTCTGGATTTTATTTTATTTGGAAAATGTGGAGAAATAATGTACTATGTATTCACAGAATTCGATTAAAATTGATACTCTTAGGCGACATGAACTTCCACGCCATGAACTGCAGCAGGTTTTTTTTTGTTTTTTTTGAGGTATACCACTACTTTGCAACCCTCGTTACTCTTACAGTCATGCTGAGTTGGTTCTTGATCTAAGCAGGTCATATGCTCATTGTGTGGCACTGAACAAGAGGTTCGTGACTGAACCATAGTCATTGCTTCATAAAAGTAGTGTTTTCCTGTATAGCGTCAATGTATCATGACGATGCTTCTTGCTTATCTGTTGCCAGGTACGACAAATATGCATCAACTGTGGTGTATGCATGGGAAAGTATTTCTGTGAAGTGTGCAAGCTCTTTGATGATGATGTGAGTAAGAGGAGTTTCCAGTTTTGGGTGTTTTGTCTTCTTTGATCAAGTTGTGGCAGTATGCCATGCTAAGACTTAATTTTGTGATTCCAGGTCTCAAAACAGCAGTATCACTGCCATGCGTGTGGAATATGCAGGTATGCAATTTTTTCCTGGATAATTTCCAGTATTGGAATTGTATGGATGTATCTCTCTGAACTATTTCTTTTTTAAACTTGTGTTTAAATTTGAATTTCGTTCTTATCTTTGCAGAATTGGTGGCAGGGAGAATTTCTTCCACTGCTCAAAATGTGGTAATGCGTCGCTCCTGTGTCTAAAATTGCTTTCTTGAAAGTACAATGTACTAGTATGATGTCATGTAGGAGGCTTGCTGCAGCATGTTTGTGCACGTATATTTGTTTGTAGACTTGTGCGGTTACACAATGTTTCGTGACTTGTAGTTGATTTGGCCAGAAAATAACAAGAATTGTTCTCAGAGATATTTTCATTTTGCTGTGCGTTATAAATTACTAGGTGAATAATGCTATATAGTATTTTTCAACTTTCAACTCCAAAATCCACGAATTTATTAGTCTATTCCTCAAGTTCTTTAGTCATTCTAAAGCCTTAACTATAGTATAGTTCACTTCTGTTTTTGAAAGAGTGTACATTTTATTCGTGCTACCTTTGTTTAAAAAATCTCAGTTTAATCGGGCTTATGTCATTTTTTATGTTTACGAATCAGTTTCATATAACTGTAATCACTTTATTCCATTCAGTTGGTTTAACCCTTCTTGTTTATGTATCTCATGCAGGATGTTGTTATTCCAAAGTGTTGAAGAACAGTCATGCATGTGTTGAAGGAGCCATGCATCATGACTGTCCAATCTGCTTCGAGGTTGGTGTTCAGTTGCTCATTTGTATTGCAGCATATTGTTTGATGAATGGCTTAATTTCTGATTTCAAATTATCTTCTGGCTGACCCTGTCATGATTTCCAGTACTTGTTTGAGTCGAGAAATGATGTCTCTGTTTTGCCATGTGGTCATACAATTCATGAAAAATGCCTGAAAGAGATGAAGGAGCATTGCCAGTAAGTTTAACTTGGCCTTCGATATACGCTGGTTTATCATGTGTAGAACTAGGCCTATGGCAGCTGACATGTCTAAAACCAAATTTTAGATTTGCATGCCCGCTCTGCTCCAAGTCGGTATGTGACATGTCGAAGGCATGGGAAAGACTGGACGCGGAACTAGCGACTCTGTCAAACTCCTTCGACGATAAAGTGGTAATGTTCTCGTTTCACGTCGTTTTCTCATACGAGCATCATACTCGGCACATTGTTAACCAATTTCATTGCTAGATAATTTGAACTGAAAAGTTAAATATGTTGGCCGCTGCTGATCCACTTTTCCTGGTTGTAGGTTCGCATATTGTGCAATGATTGTGGGGCAGTATCAGAGGTGCAGTTCCACTTAATTGCACATAAGTGCCATAGTTGCAAGTCGTACAACACCCGGCAGATTTGAAGTAGTGAAGCCCTGGAGGGATTGTACATTCTTCCTGGAAGTTGGTGAGAGTGCTACGGCGGTGGAGATTCATTCATCTACGTGATGTTTGCTGCGAAGGCACATCACTGGACAATTTATCTGCGTCCACTGCAGTTAGCAGCCGTGGTTGTCCTTCATTAGTTTCTTCATCGTTTCTGTTAGTTCAAAAAGTGTGTAACAGTTTCCGCGTTTCCGTTCAAGCCTTGCATATTTCAGCACAACGTGGCAGACTGGTAGAATTGTGCTCTACTCGATTGGCATCATTTCCTCGGCATTGGTCAGGCCTGCAACGGATAGGATCTCCTCTCCAGGGAGAGTGGTGTGTGCATGCAGCAGGCTGTGTGGCGTAGGGTTTATGGTTGCAAAATGTCTTGATCAACAATTTCAATTTCAGTGATCACCAAGTTGGGCTGTCATTTCCGGGCCTACATTGTTGCAGCTTTTTCATTCAGTTTATTGCATGCCTTGCCGGTTAATGTTCCTGGCACCTCTTTGGGAGGATTGTTATCTGAGCAATGCTGTTGATGCAAAAGCTCGGCAGAGGCAACTCCTCGCTAGGCGTGGAGTCGTGTAGGTTCCTCAAATGGCGGTACTGCCAATGCTAGTTAGGGTTCTTGGGCTTCATAGAGATGTTATTTTAGGACTAAAAATATTTGTTTAATCGTATGCAACTCTTTTCTTAGAGATACATTCTGTATAAGTATTTCAGCTCAGTTGAAATTATGAGATAGATTTCCCCCGCAAAAAGAAAGAAGTTATGAGAAAGATTCAATTATTCTAGTATGTTGTAGCAAAAAACATTATTTCAATCATATTGTACACAAGAGGGCAATTATGCAAATGTTCAAGTCCTCAAAACAGAAAAAACTGAATGTTTTTTTTACAACACACATGTTCATGTCTTTTATACGTGTACACAAAATTTCGTGAAGAAACAATGTGTTGTGAGTTGTGACCTAGGAAAAAAAAAGTGCCCTACAAAGCTTATATTGTATTTTGTCGTATCATTTGTAGCTTCACAAAAATTTACACGCAGTCATAACAAGTTTGTTACAAAAGAAAAATTAAGAAATTTTGTACCCCTGAAAGCAAAAAAAAAGCCCTTGTGTCACAATTATGTGTTCTTCCTATTTCAACCTTTCAAAAAGAAGAAAAGATCATATAAACTTGCAAAGCCAACTTGTAACGCCCTCGATGCACTCACTACAGAGCATGGCATGGCAAACTGAGCATACACCCATCAAGAATACATGGCATAGAAACTAGACATGGTAAGAACAACAACATAGCATGCACGGATCAATAGCAACATCCTCGGCAAAATCGCTAACAAGTCAACAATCTGCCAGGATTCACGAAATAGCAAAAGTAGAGCTCGATTGACTCAAGGTAGGGTGCTCCATAATTGCAAACAAAGACATGGATGAATAGAGCACCACCATGTTAACAAATCATCCTTACTGATCATCCTCAAAAGAGGCATGGATCACTAGGAAACAACATGAACATATGGCATAACGACAAAAACAGATCAAGGACTTAGTGAAATTCTAAGTCCCTGAAATTAACATTACCGATTGCACTACTTTGCAAGCTTGTGCTAGTCACCACACATATCATAAAAATACATGGTAAGCACCTCTGTAAAGATGGCATGGCATATAACAAAACTCATATAGACCTCAGGAGCATATCATGCACACATTAATCAGGGCAAAAATGACAAATATCTATTTGATGAAACAGATCTGGCAATTTTATCACATAGCCCTCTTCCAACAGCATTTCGGGCATCAAGATGAGCTCAAATGAAAATGATGCAATGAGAATAAATGATGTACTCGTTGAGACAAACATTTTGATATGCCACACGCGCAAATCGGAGTTACAGATGCGGAGTTACGACATGAAGAAAATCGCTAAAAATACTGAGAAACTGGGGACTTAGTGAAATCTTTACCCTCCGAATCTAGGGTTTACTGTTCACCGATCCAGATCCAGTCGCGGTACTGTAGCTGACGGCGCTCGAGGTCACCGGCGAGTGCGGTGGTCACCGGAGGAGAGCGTCCGGCGATGGGGCGGCGGATCCGGCAAGAGGGAAGCGGCGGCGCGGCTCTGCAGGGCGTCGGGACGCCGCGGCGACATCGGCGAGGCAGGGGCGGCGAGGTGGCGATGGAAGCCATGGTGGCCGGCGATGGCGGACGCGGTGGCGCGAGGCAAGTCCGGCAAGGGCGGGCGCCGGCTCGGGGGAAGGGGAAGCGGGCGCGGGCGGCGCTCGGCTCGGGCCGGGGAGGGAGGCGCCGGCGGAGTGACACATGGCAGCCTACGAGTGGCTGTGGGCGGCGGCGGAGAGGCGTCCGACGCGGGCGGACATGTCCGGCGCGACGCGAGGAGGATTCTAGGGTTAGGGGGAAGAAGACCCGTGATTTTGGAAAGGGGTCTATTTATAGGCCTAGAGGGAGCTAGGAAGCTCAGAATGAGGTGCGGTTTTCGGCCACGCGATCGTGATCGAACGCTCTAGACGATGGGAGATGTTTTGGTGGGTTTTGGGCCAGATAGGAAGGGTGTTGGGCTGCAACACAAACGAGGCCTTCTCGGTCCCTCGGTTAACTGTTGGAGTATCAAACGAAATCCAAATGGCACAAAACTTGACAGGCGGTCTACCGGTAGTAAACCAAGGCCGCTTGGCAAGTCTCGGTCCAATCCGGAAATGTTTAACCCCCACACACGAAAATAGGTAGAAAGGGGCACCGGAGGAGATAGGAGCGCCGGAATGCAAAACGGATAACGGGGAAAATGCTCGGATGCATGAGACGAACACGTATGCAAATGCAATGCACATGATGACATGATATGAGATGCATGACAAAGGCAACAACACACGAAGACAAAACCCGAACCCGAGGAAATAAAATAACTTAGTGCCGGAAACGGCAAGAGTTGGGATACGTATAAGGTAAATTACATCCGGGGTGCTACAACACTCCACCACTACGAAAGGATCTCGTCCCGAGATCTAGGATTGGAAAAACGTCGGGTACTCAGAACGAAGGTGATCCTCGCGTTCCCAGGTAGCTTCACGGTCGGAATGGTGTGACCACTTGACTTTGAGGAATTTGATTGACTTATTGCGAGTCTTGCGTTCAGTCTCTTCAAGAATAGCAACTGGGTGCTCACGATAAGAGAGGTATTCTTGGAGATCAATGTCTTCGAAGTTGACGGTGCGGTCAGGGGTCTTGAAGCACTTGCGGAGCTGAGAGACATGGAACACGTCATGCATGTTTGCAAAGTTTGAAGGAAGCTCGAGTTGATAGGCGAGATCGCCTCTCTTGCTGACGATCTTGAAAGGACCCACGTATCTAGGGGCAAGCTTCCCTTTGATACCGAAGCGATGAGTACCTTTCATTGGAGAGACGTGGAGGTAAACATGGTCTCCGATCTCAAAAGCCAAATCACGATGCTTACTATCATAGTAGCTCTTCTGGCGGGATTGTGCTGCTTTGAGGTTATCACGAATGACCTTGCACATCTCCTCTGCCTCTGTGATCAATTCATTTCCGAGAAGTTGACGTTCACCGGTCTCTGACCAGTTAAGAGGAGTACGACACTTCCTGCCATAGAGAATTTCAAATGGGGCCTTGCCCGAACTTGCTTGAAAGCTGTTGTTGTAGGAGAACTCGGCATATGGAAGACAATCTTCCCACTTCATACCGAAAGAGATAACGCAAGCCCTAAGCATATCTTCGAGAATCTGATTGACACGCTCGACTTGACCGCTAGTTTGAGGATGAAAAGTTGTGCTGAAACGGATGTTGGTGCCAATGGCCTTCTGAAAAGAATCCCAAAACTTGGAGGTAAAGATGCTGCCACGGTCTGAAGAGATCAATTGTGGAATGCCGTGCAGAGAGACAATCCGAGAGGTATAAAGCTCTGCCAATTGAGCCGCTGTGATAGACTATTTGATAGGCAAAAAGTGAGCCACTTTAGTGAGTTTGTCGATGACAACAAATATAGCATCATTGCCACGCTTGGACTTTGGAAATCCCGTCACGAAGTCCATCTCAATGTGGTCAAACTTCCATTCTGGAATGGCAAGAGGTTGGAGGAGACCAGCTGGTCGTTGTTGTTCTGCCTTCACTCTTCTGCAGACATCACATTCATTCACGAACTGAGCAATCTCGCGCTTCATTCGAGTCCACCAATAAGCCTGCTTGAGGTCCTGGTACATCTTCGTACTCCCAGGGTGGATAGAGAGGAGTGAATTGTGAGCCTCGTTCATAATGACTTTACGAAGGTCACCTTTAGGCACAACAATGCGATCCTCGAAGAAGAGAGTATCCTTGTCATCAAGGCGATAGCACTTGTACTTGGGTTGACTCTTGGCAATCCCAATCTTCACCTTCTTCACCATAGCATCAAGAAGTTGAGCCTCGCGAATCTGATCTTCCAAAGTAGGAGAGACTTGAAGGTTGGCGAGGAAACCTTGAGGAACAACTTGCAAATTGAGTTTGCGGAAAGCTTCAGAAAGCTCGGGTTGGTAGGGCTTGAGAATCAGACTGTTGCAGTAAGCCTTCCTGCTCAATGCGTCAGCAATCACATTGGCCTTGCCTGGAGTATATTCGATGCTCGGATTATACTCTTGAATCATTTCAACCCAACGAGTTGTTGGGGATCGTAGCAGAAATTTAAAATTTTCTACGCATCACCAAGATCAATCTATGGAGTAATCCAGCAACGAAGGGAAGGAGAGTGCATCTACATACCCTTGTAGATCGCTAAGCGGAAGCGTTCAAGTGAACGGGGTTGATGGAATCGTACTCGTCGTGATCCAAATCACCGATGATCCTAGTGCCGAACGGATGACACCTCCGCGTTCAACACACATACGAAACAGAGACGTCTCCCACGCCTTGATCCAGCAAGGAGGAAGGAGAGGTTGAGGAAGAGAGTCCAACAGTAGCACGACAGCGTGGTGGTGA